GAGACCAAGAAATAAAATCTCCTCTCTGTTGTCTGTACATAGTGACTTTGGCAGCAACACAGATCAGTTCTTGAATAAAACAAATCTTTACCTGTCAGTCTCTGCCTCCAGAGTTTTTGGCCGTGTGGTTGGTCTTCACTATTTAGAGGGTCAGAACTAACCACACTGAGCATTGGGATGCCGGCCTTTCCTGGGTGCCTGTTTCCTTTCTTCCTTGACTCCTAGCATCTGGTTGTGCTTGTGTCCCTCCATCCGCGGTAGAGAGGGTTTTTTGTTTTTATCTTGTTTTAGTTGAGTATAGGGCTTAATCTGAAGGGAGGGGAAGAATGGCTTCTACCCAAGCCTCCAAAATCCTGTGCTTGAAAACTGCCCTTCACGGCAGGCAGTGGGGGACGTGTCGGAAGTGGTGTAAAATGTTGATTGGGAACCAACAGAAGTTGTGACATCAATTGTCACATTGTTTAAACAAAGTCATCAGAAAGTAATATGCATGCACTTGCCAACTGTGCCCTGGGGTCCAGGGTTGAAGTCTATGCTAGGACTCCGCTGCCACCAGCCTAGAATCTATGCCACCTGGACTTTAACTGCCGACCCCATCCCAAGCTCCCCAAAAGACCTTGAGGTCTTTGGAGCATCCCAATTTCTAAACTTTTTTCCTACCAAAAGGATTTTGGGGGGCTCCTGGCTGGCTCAGTAGGAAGAGCATGCAACTCTTAAACTAGGGGTCGTGAGTTTGAGCCCCACATTGGGTACAAAGATTACTGAAAAAAGTAATTTTTGTTTTAAGTTTATTTTTTGAGAGCGGTTATATGAGCAGGGGAGGGGCAGAGAAAGAGGGAAACAGAACTCCAAGCAGGCTCCAGGCTCTAAGCTGTCAGCCAGAGCCCGACACAGGGCTCAAACACCGTGAGATCATGACCTGGAAAAAAATTTAAGTGTTTTGGTTTATACCCATCTCAGGGCATAAAGGAAATAGCTTTTCTCAGCAGAAATTGAAACAAAGGCACATGATGTGAAAGCCTGTTGAAGCCATTGTGAGTTGCTTAATGAATTCATACCCCCTTTTGTAAATAGTAAATTTTATTTTGCCACTTAGCTGGTAGTAAGAACCGCCAATAAATTCTTCAGTAAAGTATCTGCTCTGCGAACCAAGGACTGTTAGGCACTTTACACTGACTCCTATTGATTCTCTAATCTTCATAACATTGTAAAGTAGGGTTATTACCTTGTCTACTTCGCAGATGAGGGAACACATGAAATGCTGGCTTCACATGGCTTGTGTTGGTGGGAAAATGCATTCAAGATGTTGAAGTAAAATGGGACTTGGCAGACACTGGTCAGCTTTGGGGGACTGGGCAGGTGACGCTTCTGGTGTCAGAAGGAACCAACTGGGTTAGGGACAATGGCCAGATGTCCAGGTGGGAAGCATCAGTCGGCCAATTGAATGGAGGGCCAGAGTCTAGGCTGGGGAGAAAAGTTGCACAGAAGGGACCATCTCCTTTAGTTCTTGGCACAGGGAGGACTGGCATGCCTGTCCTGGTTTCCTTCCTGCCCTCCCCTTTCCTGAGGACCAGTGTGAAGGCCAGCGGGGGACTTCAGGGGATGTGTGGGCAGATGCTCCCATCTGCACTTGCGTGAGAAAGGCAGGACTAGTGTGTCCTTGGGAACACCAGACCCCCTCCTACTATGTCTTTAGGGTCCTCGTCCAGTCTGGACAGGGTGGGGCAGGTGGGTAGCCTAGGGCAGGAAAGCCCAGACTCAAAGACCCAGAGTCTTGGGGCGCCTGGGTGGCTCAGTCGGTTGAGCGTCCGACTTCGGCTCAGGTCACGATCTCACGGTTCATGAGTTCGAGCCCCGCGTCAGGCTCTGGGCTGATGGCTCAGAGCCTGGAGCCTGCTTCCGATTCTCTGTCTCCCTCTCTCTCTGCCCCTCCCCCATTCATGCTCTGCCTCTCTCTGTCTCAAAAATAAATAAACATTAAAAAAAAAAATTAAAAAAAAAAAAAAAAGACCCAGAGTCTTATGCACACCCATATGCATCAGAACCTGCTTTTGGGGTTCCTTCCCTGTTGCCACTGTAGCAACCTGTGTGAACTTTATCCATCAGCTCTTGACTATAATCCTTTGCTGTTCCAAGTGTGGGGAAGCTGAAGGAAAGAGTCCTGGTCAAGCTCCCAGCTTGGATCGCAGGACACGGACACCTCCTTCCCAGGCCTGGCTGGGCCACAAGAGGAAGGGCATTGAAGGCCACCCCACCTCCATGCCCTCAGGCAGTGGGGGGACGACAGGAAGGAGAAAAAGGTAACCCAAGCATGGGACCCTCCACTGGGCGTTCAAAACTTGCAACACAAAGCTGGTTTCCACCCTAGACCAGGAGATGGTGCTGTTCTCTCGCAGGTTGCTGCAGGTGTAGCAAACCCTCACTTTTGGGGTTGTTTTTGAAGGAGTTGAGGTGGGAGGTAGGAGCCTATCTGTTGGGAAGCCTTGGATTTAATCACTTCTTTCTGAAGCTCACCCCAGGCCTGGAGGTTACTTCTTTCCATGGGCCGCCAACCCCTTCCTAGGGCAGTGTCAGGGAGGGCCCCCTTAGCAGGCCGATCCCCTAAAGTAACCACTGGATCTCTTCCAGGTCCTGGAACCTTGGAGAAATTCTGATGGAAAGAAAGGTCCATTCTCTCAAGATCTTAGAACTAGTCCCACCATATAATTTTGCATACCCTTTAAAGGGGTTCACGGCCGTCAGATAAACACTCCCTGAGCAAATCCAATTCCATTTCTGGGGGAGGAAACTGAGGCCCAGAGAGGCCAATGACTCCCCAGAATCTCAGCACCGCGTGAGCACCAGCACCTTTGACCCTCCCGATGACGTGGGAGACTATGATTCAGAGTAGGTTGCTGCAGAGGTGCCGGGCAGCTGCTGTAGGGCCACGAGCTGGAGAAGGGGGACAAGGCCAAAGAGAGTAGTGCTAGCAAGGTGGGTAAGGCTGCACAGCGGGGCTCACTCTGTGTCACCGCCCCCTCCCCCCTCCCCGCCGACCTCTGGTATTCACCTCTCTGCTCTTTTAGGCCTCCTGTCTCCATTCCTAGGCTCCCCCTTTTTTTTGCATCTCTCCGAAGTCTGGCCTCATACTACATATGCCCAGTTAAGCTCAGGCAGAGATGGAGGGAGGGAGGGCATGTGTGGGGCAGACAACGGAGCCAAATGGTGAGCTGGCACCACCAGTAGCTTCCTGGGCATTCTCTGCCCCAGGCCAATGGTGTTGCTGGCCCAGCCACCCCCAGAGTGGGCACAGAGGAGGGCAGAGGCTATAGTGGGGGCACCAGCTGTTCCCAACCCCCAGGCTGTGAGCATGCCGTTAGTGGTTCAGCCACCCGAAAAAGCTGCTGTACTCAGCAGTGCGGCAAATGGGCTAGGGAGGAGGCGGGGGTCCAGGCCAGCTGCCTGCTGGTGGCAGACGCAAGTGGAGTGTGTAGAAGGCTTGGCTGAAAGGCTCTCACTCTCTACGGGGGGGGGGCTTTCGATTCCTGGAGCCCGTGGCCCAGTATCCTGGGGCGTCTCTATTTCCATCTCATTAGTTTAAGGCACTGAGGGACCCAGGTAAGGAAAGAGCTCAACCCGGGGACAAGAGACATGATTTCTGAGACTGGCTTGGTCACCAATTTGCTGGGTGACCTTGGGCAAGTTACTGGTCCACTCTGGGCCTCAATGTCCCTCTATATAAAAGGGGCAAGGTCGGGCTGGATAAGCTGTATGACCTTGAGTATGTCACCTAATATCCCTGGGCCTCAGTTTCTTCATCTGTGAAAAGGGGAGACCACCACTTTCCTCACTGGGTCACTGAAAGGATTAAATAAAATTCCTGGCATGGTTCTCCAAGCACAGCAGGTGCCACTTTATGTGAGGTCCCCTCTCTTTAAGCCACTGGCCTGGGCTTGTCTTCATTCCCCCCATCAGAGGTCTTAGAAAGAGGAGGTCATCCTCCTCTGGCTCACCCGCGGAGCTCTAGGACCTTCCCTGGGTGAAAGGTCCCAAAGAAAGCTCAGCGTCTGGTCCCACCTGGCCTACCTTGCTTTGGGGG